CCCCAAAACCCCAAAACCCCAAAACCCCAAAACCCCAAAACCCCAAAACCCCATAGCTTAGGTTTTGTATTGAGACTGGACAAATTAGTCTTCGATAACATTTCCTTGGGCGACTTCTTCGATGTAGGCTGCTGGGGCGGGAGCGGGAGCTGGAGTGGAGGGTTGGGATGTGCCCATGAGGCCACCTGGGTTGATGTTGTGCTCGAGGAGTAAGTCGTCGAAGGTATCTGTATGTTTCAGGGGTATTAGAGGGTAGGGGATGTGAAGGGATGGAAGAGGGAAGGATAGTAGATGTGGTGTAAGATATGTGATTAGATATTTGTATTTCAGTGGTGGTTAAAAAATTGTTAAGGATTTTTTACCTCTAAGATCTCTTATCTCGTATTCAATATCAATCTGTTCTTCTCTGTGACTACTAATAAGCAGATCTATTTAGAAATGAGTTAAAGCTTTTCATTAATCTAACATAAGAAATTATCTCCCACATTTCCAATTCTCAGAAAAAGAAATATTATAAGTACTTATCAGATCTTTCCAAAGATCAGCTCTAATATCCTAAATTTACAGCTCAATACCAACCCAACAGTTTAAACCCTCAAGAGCATATATCTAGCGAAGTTTCTCTTTTGTAGACTCTCAATTCTATCTCTGTGAATCCCTAAATCGTATAGATTACCCCTATCCTGTTGAAGGCTTCTGATGGTATCATCTTGAACCTTTTTGTCTTCTTCAAACCTATACAAATTAGGAAGAGGTATACTTCTTGATTCTGGCCTTGGATAAATCTGAAACTTCTTTGAGATTGTCATACTCTCTAAAGTAATGTTAGAGAGAGTGATAAGAAGGTTAAGAAGACTAAGATAAAGCCAAGTGAGCACATTACTTTTTATTCTCCTCCATCTTAGACTTCAGATCATTGTTTTCTGATTCAGCTTTGTTACATTTCGTATCTAATTCTTTAACCTGTTTCTTCAAATCACCAATCTCTTCATTATCTTTCTTTGAATTTCTTTCTTTCTCTTTTAAGTCTTCATCCAATTTCTTTTCTTTATTCTTAAGCTTTTCTCCTTCTTCTTTTAAATTCTTGTTTAATTCTTGTGTCTCTTCATACTTCTTTGTAAGCTCTTCTAGCTTTTTATTTAATTCAAGCTTATCTTTTTCCAAGTCTTTTATTTCGTCATTAGGATTTGCCATGCTCATGCTCTCGTTAAGGAGATCATTACTCTGTTCAAGTAACTCATTATTAGATTTAGTGAGCTTATCATTCTGTTTTGAAAGATTGGAGTTCTCTTCAAGCAAGTCATCTCTTTCTTGCACAATCTTTTTAGTTTCACTTTCGAGAGTAGAAAATTCTTCATTCTTTCTGTGTAGTTGATCTTCAGCCTTTTTCTTAGCTTCCTCAGTGGAGGCAAGAGTGGAGATTAATCTTTTGTTCTATTTGAGGGTTTAGAAGGAATAGATAAGGACTGATTATAACAAAAATTGATAATAGATTATGCAAGGGCTTACTTCTTCTTGAAGTTTGTGGAACTCTGATGCTTTTACTCTGTACTCCTCCTTTTCTTTGTATAAATTACGTTTTTCTTGAATAAGCTTTGCATTTTTACCTTGGAGGCTTAAAATCTCTTCACTTTTATCAAATTTAACCTTTTTGATTTCTTTCTCTAGCTCATTCTTCTCTTTCAAGAGTAAATTATATTGGGTTTTCATATCTTTTATAGCCAGGATGCTTTCATCTTCGATTTTCTTCTGACTTTCACTGATTGATTTTGAAGCTGATGAGCTTGATAAATCTGAATATTCCAATTCACCTATATTAATAGAACTCAATTAGTTTATTTTAAATACCTAGTTGGACTAGTTTATCTTGAATTATCTTTGCTTGCTCTAGAAGGACATCTAGTATTTTATCTTGGCTTTTTGAGATTGCTTCAAATTCATGATAAAGCTCATTGCAAACCTCTTTGTGAGTTAGAGAATCAGTTTGGTCTATTATTTAGAGTAAATTTAATGATTTTATGAACTGCATAAGCAATGATCGAAATGACTTATCTTATGATTATCAAATTAAATTTTACCCATTAACTACTTTTTACTTACTTTTTGTCACAAATTTTTTAATAATTGTACTTCTTAATGTCTCGATTGTCTTTTCACTACTCTCAAAATGTTTCTGGAGTCCATCTTTGACCCAACCATCTTCTTTAACCAATCCGTTTAACACAAATAACAATGTGTCACTGTTCTGCCCATTCTTCTGCAAAGTCTTCTTCATTTCATTCAACTTCTCCTTCATACTAATTTTCAAGTCATTAGCTTTGTCTTTCTTCTTCTTAATTTCTAAATCAAATTAAATTATTTGTAAATCCTTAATCCTTTACCTTTCTTAAGAGCTTTCTGGTCTTTCTCATTTGAAGGGTTCCTCAACTATTATTAAGTGTTAGCTGCTGAATTAATTGAAATGATGTTTAGTTTGTAATCGAGTGTTAATATTTAAGATATGAATTTAGATGTTATACAATGATACAATTAGAATGAAGGATCACTAAGTTTTTTATTCTAGGGAAGCAAGCTTTTCCAACAGTTTTGCCCTAACTGTACCATAACCTCCATCTACTAAATTTTTTCCTAATTTTCTAGACCAGATTTTCTTCAAAGTATTCGTATAATTATTAATTATTTTAGCATATTTTTGATTGCTTGGGTAAACTTAACAATGAAACACATAATAGAGATAAAGCCAAGGGAGTACCTTAAGGAGTTTTGATAGTTTGTAAGTTGAGTCGAAGGCATCATAGATTCTACAGATGTAGTCTATATTGGTGAGGAAGGTCAGATAGAGGAGGTGAGGAAGACAGGAATGGACTTACCATGATCTGTTTTTCTGAGATCAGAATAAAGGGACCTGTGAATTGGCTCCCCGTTTAGTTTTGATTCAAAGCTTTGTTCATTTTTGGAAATCTTTTTTATCGTCTTTGTAATAGTTTTCTCAATTCTTTTCCTCATCTCATTTGAATCATTTGCAGAGTCTTTGACTTTGGTTATTTTGGCAATCAAGTCATCAATGGATTCTTTGAGGGTCCAATTTTGATCAATTTCTATAAATCAGTTTAATTTTTGACAAAATACAAAAATAAAAAATAATCTTACTCTTTGGGGGTTCAATAATCCAATCGTCTTGGATCTTTTCAATTTCTTCTGAATCATCAGATTCTTCATCAATCTTTTTCCTATATTTGGAGGATAAAGTTTTAATTGAAAGAAATTTACTTTATTACTGAAATATCCTGACCCAATGATTTATCTGTGCTGAAATATTCACTAGATTCAACACTCTTTAAGTCTGCTAAACTTTCAATTTCATCTTGGAAGTTAAATACTTCCTCGTTGGAGGATTTTTGTTCTTCATATCCTCTTAGCTTGGATTCTTCATTAGACTCTCCATAAATTCTAGCATCTCTCTGGGTAGTATTTCAAGAAGATATTGATTCATTACTTGGATCATAGTTATCTTCGGATTCACCTCTCATACTTTTTCTATATTAGTTTATTCAACTTTATTGTTACTCTTGGCTACTGCTTCCATCATCAGAGGGCCCGTAATTAAATGAATCTATATATGAGTGCTTTGGTAAAAACATCTAATTGAAGCCAGATTATGACTTCATGGGAATATTTTAGCCACAATTTTCAAACTATCTATTGATGAAATGCAACCAATTGGAATTAAATCAGATTTGGAATGAAGATTAGAATCAATTAAGGCAAAGTTATAATTTTGATGAGCAAAGTTTAAAACTATTGTTATTTATTCAAATAAAATCATTAGTTTGGATAACTCTAAGGCTAAAATAGCCAAGGATTTTGTATACAATGAAGAAGCATCTCAGCTTTGAAAGACAAATTTTGATTAAAAATCTTAAGTATCCTTTGGTTTAAGAACTGATAGAAATGAGTAGGATTTTCTTTATAAACCCAACACTATAAAAACTGTAAAAATAGTCATACTAAATCCTTCACACAACTCTCAAAACTAAATTCAAATCCCTTTCTAAATGCCATCATCTATTAAAAATCCCAATCTTCCCCTAATCCCCTTCCTCAACCTCCTAAGCTCCCTTATCTCCCTCAATTCCACCCCCAAAACCCTCAAACCCCTCTAAAATCCCCCAAAACCCCTAATCTCTACCCCTTTTCTTCCAAATCTCCAGCCCAAGAATCCAAATAAACCCCATTCCTTAGTGTATTTCGGCTAATCCTGCCATCAAGTACAAAGATAGAAGAATAATTTTAGATGAACAAGGGCTTTGAGGAGTTTTAGTAAAGATACGCGGGAGATGTTGGTTGATAGATTTGAAGAGAGTAATATTTGGGTAGGATTTGAAGGTTGCGATATTGGAGAGATGTTTGAATTGTTTTTAGGGGTATTGATTCAAGCAAAATGCAATGGCTAACTTAATTTTTCAGGATGAATGACAAATCTTATTATTTTAAGCGTATCTTTGAAGAGAATGCTAAAAAATCTATGGCTATTTTAAACTCTCTCTTCATTTAACAATCTTTTACTCACAAAAAAATGCTAGCTTAGCTTAAAAACATATATTAATGCCAGCCCTGCGTATCTTATAATGCTTACCAGAACTATTTTGCTCTTCCATTTTATTATTATAATATCTTTGCTATATTTATTTCTTGTATGGGGTTTTGGGGTTTTGGGGTTTTGGGG